TGAAAGGATGACAACAGGCAGAGGACATATCTGAAGGTGTGAATAGCATCTGTAAGGTCCATTTAGACACCCATGAGCAGCTAAGCTTTTGTGGAAGGTAAACCCCCCATAGGCCAATGGTAGAAGGCAGATTGCCAGGCTGCGTAGGGCCAGATGAATTTACACGTCACCCCTACCAGAGAGTCTGATTTAAAGGCCTCAGTTGAAGTTTGGGCATCAGAACTTTTTAAATCCTACTGGGTGATTTCTGATGTGTAGCCAGGGCTGGGGACCACTGGACTAGATGGTCCTCAAGGTTCCCACCAGCCTCTCTCTGGTCAGAGAATTGTGCCCTTATTAACAAAAGGGACTTGGTTTGAAAATCTGAGTGGCTTGCTGTAACATGACAATTGCTGAAAAGCTGATTTAAAGCCGTTTGTCTGCAGGCAGGGGGCTCCCTGAATAACCCAAAGCCCAAGCGCATAGATGATAATATAGACGAGTTAAGTGGGCCTGCTAGGACAGGCGACCTAGGAGTTTCGCCCCATCCACAGGGCACAGCCTCCATGCGGCTCCCACCTGCTACTGCCAAGTGGGAATGTGGGCCCAGGGTTGCCAAATCCTGCAACTTTTCAAGAGAAGCCAGTTATCTGGCAAAAGATCCTGATGTGATTGTTAGTGACAAATTTAAATTTTTTGATGAGACCCTGTGCAAGCCAAATAAAATACAATGGCAGTCAGCAGGTCTCTGATTTGATACCTCCAGTTTGGTGTTTTGATTATTAAAAAGAATCACTCTCATTTTTTATTAAGTGATTGCTACCTGACAAATAATCTTTAGAGAGACAATGCTTTAAAGTCTGTTGACTTTATGTGTTTGTTTTAGTTTTTTTAAAAAACTGTAAAAAGTACATGTGGCTGAAGAGACTGAAAAAAGTTCCCATGTACATTTATCAACAATAAATACTGTTTTATCTATATGCTCATCTACTCCCTCCCATATTTTTTTTTTTTTTTTAGGGGAGTTAATACAGTTGTATCTCCCATATTATTTTGAAGCAAATCTTAGATATGGACTCATCCATAAATATTTAAGCATAACCATAATACAATTTAATATCTAAAAATTAATAAGCAGTTCTTAATATTAAATATCCAGCCAGTGTTCAAGTTCCAATCATCTCAAAAATGTCATAACTTTTTGAAAAATTTAGTTTGTTTAAATCAGAATTTAAAGTCCACACACTGCAGTTGGTTGATAGACTTATGTTAGTTTTTGATATTGGTTTTTTGCATGTTGGTTTTGCTGAAATGGCTATTATTAATCTGTTTATATGTAACCTTTCACTAAAAGACTTGTAAAAATGTACTGAAGGTTTGCAAGGCCAAGCTCTGTGATTGTATTAGAAGTGAGTCTGATACAGTAAGTCTTATAAACAGCTGAATTCTGTCAAAGAAAAATCCATTTTTAATGCATGATTGAATATTGATAATTAATGGGAACTATGAGGAAGTCATATGCAAAGATTAATTACCAACTGAGCTCTGAGAACGTTTTTCTTCCTTTGTAATCTTACCTCCTGAGAGAAATAGTCTATATTGGTCCTAGAGTGAATTGACAGATATGTCCAGAAAGAAAAGCCACTGACTGTAATCTTTATTGGTCATGCTTAATTGGATGTACTATTATTTTTTATTTGCAGAGACAATATTTTTTAGTTAATTCTTTCTGTAATGCTGGAATTAGAAGGTGGAATCCTGAGGTCTTCCTTGCTGTACTGGTTGTATGAGGGCAGGAGTCCTGGAGTTCTGAGTGTTTCTCCTCTTTGGAAATACTTGAAATCAACTCCTTACGATGGAAAACTGAATTGTCTGAATCAAGATCCTCCTCTATAGGCCAACTACCTTCATAGCTGTTACTAAACTCCAACATAAAGAGATGCCCTGAGCTTCCTGGTTCAGAACGTAACATGAGCAAAACTAATCCCCATCCAAGTTCATTAAAATGGGGGAAAATATTATGAGTTTATCAAATAAAAAGCCAGAGAGGCATAGTTGTTTGCCCCTACTGGTGCACATTGAATTTGCACATCCACCTAAGCTTCTGCTCAAAATTGTTTCCAGCTAAGAGGCGTCTGCAGGCCAGTCTGTGACTGGCAGCAGCTCAGATTCCGTTTGCAAAGGTGGCTGGTGGCCGGTGGCTAATTACACGTTTGACAAACTTGTTGTTAAGACAATGCCGCATGTGTCCTTCCCCAGCTGCAAATTGCCAGGTTACTGGAGAGTTTCCTGTATGGATACTAATTATGCCTAATTTGGTCCTGAGATTTCCGCATTTGTCTTTCTGTCACAAAGTTTGTGATTACAAATCGCTCATGTTGATTGGGAGTGAGGCTACATTTCTGATGGTTCACACATGTAATAAAGCCATTCATGAAACCAGCAGTGTTTAGCCGTCTTTACAAAACACAGAACATCCACGGTTATTTGCATCCCTGAGAAAAGTTTGCTTTCTCTAGATATTTGTTTTCACAACGAATTAATTACCTGAAAAACATAGACAAAGCTTCCAAATGTGACACTGGGTGGAAAGGACAGCCACACGCTACTCCAGAAGAGGCAGCCATTTCATTATCGAGGGGTGTGGGTTTGACCCTACACAGGTGGGGGGGGCACTCCTCATGGGGGAGGGGGCAGATGGGACCCCACTGTTTTCTCCTGTGTGAGACCCAGGAGAGAAGGGCTTTTGTGGATATAGGCAATGGCAGGCAGTCCCTTGAAAGCCAGCTTCAGTAACTCGGGATGAGTTCTCCCAAGGCTCAGTGGGTCTGCCTCATGGACAAGTGGCTGAGTTTTCCGTAACAAGGGCCCAGGCTAGAGCTAAGGTGTCTTGCTCATTATCACATTTGCTGAACAGTTTAGCAACGTCCTAATCTTCCAAGAGATTAGGACGTTGGCTCTCAAATGTTTTTGTTCTAGGGCAATTTTAATACTTCGTCTCCTAAGAAGAGAGCCTGTTGAGGTACCCTGGTGCTGCAGAGTGAGAAAGGAAGGCCGTGGTTCTAAGGCTGAGACGAAGGTGGTGTGTGGTGAAGGAATTTGGGGGAGGGAGGCGGGCAGCATTGGGAGAGAGCAGAGGTGGATAAAGATGGATGGCAATGCCAGTGGGGCCATGGGGACAGGGTGGGGAAGGGGCACAGAGGTGGGACTTAGGTGACAGGGCCCTTCCAGAGCTGACCTGGCTACAGGCAGCGTGTGGTATTGAGCAGGCACTGCAAGGCATAATCCTGCCCAGGTAGAAAATGGGAAGTCAAGGACTGCACGGCACCAACCCAGGTCTAGTAGCCAGGTCTGTCTCTTTGTCCTTGTCTGGGTCTTTGCCTTCTTTAACCATCTTTAATGGACTAATGACGTCCAAAAATTATGAACGGGAACTTTACCTTTAAGAATAGTGTTGTGTGTTATCTTGCTGTCAACTGAATCCTGAGGTATTTTGGAAGACATGTTAGTGAATAAAGTACTAACTGTTAAATTGCTGTGAAGTAATTTTATTTGGACTTATGAGGCAGTTTGCTTACCCAGGAGATTGAGGCCACTTTTGCTGTTCTATGTCAAAAAAACCTTCCATGTGACCACAGAAATCAGCAAGCAGAGAGAGCTAAGGGTTCCTCAGCTGCCCGTGTTAACATAACAGAAAAAGACAGTTCATTTGCTCCACATTGAGGCCTCTATTCCAATAGATGGCCATAGACCTATACAAGGCAACTAGAAGCATCCTTGTTACCTCAGGAATAAGAAAACCAATCCTGTTAACTAATAACCCAGATAAGGTCAACACCCTGGCCGCCAAGATTAGCCAAGCAGCCACTCACAAGCTCCTTTGTGGAGACGAGCTCAGATAGCCTGTTTTCCCTCAAGAATAACAAGGGCCAGGTGACTTTGAGGTCTGTAATTGGATCCCTCTCAGGTCCTTATCTGACTCTATGAGGGTTAAGTATAAATCATGATCACATTATGACATTGAACAAGTGCAAGTCACACTGGCTCTATGGTGACATGTGTCTTTTCCAGGTTAATTTCAGTGAGGCCCAGCACTTATATTGCCACTGGAATTGGAGCGACAAGAGGGAGGGGCAGTGGTGCAGGGGCTACCAGATGATCTAGCCAGCTTTTTTCTGTTTGAAAACCATACTAAGCCTATTCTGTTTCCTCATCTGCTGGATGGGGAGAGAAAAACCTACTTACAGTGTAGAAAAGGGGTTTGGAGCCTGAATTTGGCATCGTGTTTTGGGTCTGGGATCTTCTACCACCTGCCAGCTGTTTGGCTGGGACAGGTACCTAAACGCCGCTATGCCTTTGTTCTTCTCATCCACGGACGGATCGTTCTTGCCTCAGAGACCTGTGCAGATTAAATGATAATGAGTAGAAAACTGTGAGTATCTATGGCCCCCACACCACGGCTGCCAGAACTTTATCAGTGAATGAAGCCGGCAAAGTGCTCTTTGAGCAGCCAGATTGGTGCTGCCTCCGAGAAGCTTCCATGTGCATACAGTTCTCCAGGCGTCAAACCCGCCGTCTGTGAATCTGTGTGCTCCTCAAGGACAGTGTCATTGTTGTTCTGCTCCCACCCCTCACTGGAGCACTCAAGTTTCCAGGCTTCCTAAGTTCTCCCGAGATGCGGGAGGCTGCAGCTGCAGACACTCCAGAGAAACAGGCAACTGCTCTTCCTAGAGAGCCTGGCTTGGGGTAGAGCAGACTCGGGGACCTAGAAGTGGGGGCAGGTGCGTCTGGGGGTGGCTGAGGCCAGTGGGCTGGGGATGAGGACAGTCTGGGTGGGCAACGTTTCTGGATGGGGCCTGCCCCCGTCAACGCCCCATCCTGCAGGCTGCCATTTTCCAGAGCACAGCTGTCTCCTACTGTTGCCATGAAAATTTGCCGCAGACAGAAATCTGACATGGGATGTTTCAAGCCAAGAAGAAGTCTTTTTTATTTTTTTTTAATTATTTTTTTCATTTTGACAGATTTTGAATTGAAGTGATTTAGTCAATTTTAACCCAGGAAAGTCATTTCCAAGTAGAGCCACCACCCCACCCGAAGCTTCTGGAGGTGAGTTCTGGCACTGGCAATGGCTTCTCCACACGCCCCCAGCCCTCCCTTCTGGGCCTGAGCCCGAAGGAGCTGCTCCCACAGCCTTTCCTGAGCACACTGTTATTCTCTTATTGACAGCAAACATAACAACCTTGCTCTTGGCAACTTTTCCTCTTGTTTATTTTATGCCCAGAACTTCCCTTGGCACTAGTGAGAATCTTGCAGGTAGAGAGAAACACCTTCTGTGCCATATAAAAAATACCAAAAAAGGACAAGGGAGAATGGGGAACGTTTGAAGTCTTTACATTTCAGATATAATTACTCATATATTAACATTTTTGCTGGGAAAATTAATTTAGAATCCAATATAAATTTTTTTCAATACAGAAATGTAAATTTTGCATTTTAGCATTTGCTCTAAGGAGAGTCCTCTGCCAAAATGAGAGCACTGGAAAATACAGTGTGGGCGACTTTGACAAAAATAAAATTCAGTAATAATCAAGGGCAAGATTTAGTAAGCCTTTGCTTTTAGGTTTTCATTTATCTCACTGTTCATTCATTTATTCATTCATCAAATATTGTTGAATGTCTATTATGTACAAAGTTGTCATTTAGAAAATGTTATGTGGTTCTTTTTGAGGTTCTCCCTTCATATGCCTTGTTATTTTATATTGTGAAAGTACTTCATAAAATGCATTCTTACCATGAAAACTCATTCTCTGCCACTTAAAACTTTTTTCTTCATAGGGAGCTGGGAGAGCTGGAGACAGCCACAATGCCAGAAGCTAGTTTGCATTACTAAGACCAGAGTTGGGATTCTCTGCCTTGACTCTCTGTGGCTGGAAGTAGAGGGCATGGAAGGAGAAAACTTCCCTTGCATACCTGTCACAGACCAGATGTTTCACAAAAACAATCCCATTTAATTTTAATTCGCATAACCCTCCAAGGTGGCTGTGATTTCCATTTTGAAGTTCAAATAACTGTGGCTAGGAGGGGAGAGGAAACTCCTCGTACAAAGCGACATACCTAGTTGTGTTGGCACTGACAGCCCTCGCTGCCGTTCAGGGCGCCGTGCATTTCATTCACTACGTAATGCTACTGAGCACCTGCAGTGGGCTGGGCACGGACTCAGGGACTAGGGATGCAGAGGTGAACAAAGTCTCTGCCCTCATGCAGTTCCAAGTGGTGGTTTAAACAGCAATAAATAAATATATATGATGAAACATGGGGCTTTGGTTTGGGGAAAGGGAATGAAAGGGGTGGGGGTGGCTATGTCGCTCTCAAGCATCTGTCCACTGGCTAGACACCTCTCTCCAGCAACGAGCACCCTGTTACCAATCTCCTTCCTGCGTGGGAGTGCATGTGGGCAGCGCCGGTGCACCTGCATGGTACGGGCTAGGCACGAAGGCGGCGAAATAGACAAGAGCGAGGAGGAACACGGAGGCAGAGTCAAATTTGCAAAGCCGGTGTTTTCCTTGGGCTTTGGTCCATTCCTCTCTTTCAGTTCTTTTTCGACCCCTCAGTGACTTCCCAGCACACCTGGTTTTTCTTATTTTCATCTTGACTATGACTACCTCCTCTGCCTCCCAAGTGACCCTGCCTGGAAGATGATGCATACTGCCCCTCCTCCCCACCAGCTCCTCAGGAGTTGACCATTTCCTTGTGACCTTGACTTGTCTCCTTCAAAAGGTACACATTCTGTGTTTCAATCCTCCAGGGCCTATTAAGTGACCACATAGATAGTGTTTTCCTTACAAAACTATCTTATTTTTGCATTGTATTTACATTTTGATAGGCTGCAAATATCTCTCACTGTTGAAGTGCCCCAGGACCTCTTATCTTTGCTTTTGCCTCCTTGGTGGTCTCATCCTGTTTCAAGGCTTTAGATGCATCTACAAACAGATGACTCTCAAAATTCATATTCCATTGTAGACCACCCTCTCTGCCTATCTGACTTCTAATAGACATCTCAGAATGAGCATTCTATGTCCAAATCTTGGTTTCCATCTGCAGCCTTTTTCATCTGAGTCAACCACAACTTCATTTTTCAGCTGCTCAGGACAACAAATTTGGGGGCATCTTCTATTCTCATGCCCAGAAGTGGTTGGTTCAGTGTCAAATAAATCTAGAATTCAACTTTTTCTGACCCTTTTCTCTGCTACCACTCTGATCTAAGCCACCATCATCTCCGGGTTTGCTGATGGGTTTGCTGATTTCGACAGCCTTCTAACACTTTCTTCTTGCAGTCTACTAACTCAGTAGCCAGAGTGATCTTGTTAATAAGTAAATCAGATCATCTCAGTGCTTGGTTTATACCCTCCAGTGGCTCCCACCTCACTCAGAGGAGTTCAGCTTGAAACTCTGCCCTCTTCCCTGAAAAGAAACCCAAAATACCAAACAAACACAGCAAGCCCTATCTCCTCTAGTCTGCCCCTTTATCACCCCTCCCTCTAAGTAGGAGTGCCATGTGATCTGTGACATTTTCAGGGCCACACCCTGGCTGCAGCTGGAGCTATCCTCATGTGGCAGTTTGAAAGTTGGTCAAGGTTAGATTTGCTAAGATCTCTGAACTCTTCCTGCTAGCCCTGGAAGATAAGAACTTCTAGCGACTTTATCTAAGCAGAGATTGTCCCCTTTGTCCCCACCCATACAGGAATCAGTCTTCTGTTCCCAAACTGTAGCTCAAAGCCCACACCCATAGGAAGTGCCTGTTTCAGGCAACATTTAACCTGGCAGCTTTCTTCTTAGCTTTTCAGTGACTTTTTTTCACTCATTTTTTCCTTTAAGAAAACGAAGTCCATTTTAATTTTTTGGGCTTGATGGAACTAGGACAATAGGACAATGTTTGCTCGGATCAAATTTTTGTTGTGTGAATTTTTTTGGCAGAATCGATGTTTGCAAGAAGCAGATAAAACTTGACTGTTGGGGACCCTGGCTGTAGCAAGCAGCTGCCTGCCAGCAAATCTCCAGTTCACAACAGAGCCCGAGTCATTGTCAGCCAGGTGGGAGAGACGGGGAAGAGAAAGCCGGAGAGCTTCCTTGTTGGGCTCTAAATGAGCTGGTTGTTTAGCAATTACTGTGAGACAGCAGATCTGGGTACACAGGCATCTAAAGATAACATCTCAACTCGGTTTGCCCTCCTTACACAACACGGGTGTATGTACATCAAGGAAGCCCCACAGCCCCGAAATATTTTATTCACCTCACACTCGGAGGAGTTCACTGACTGGAATTCAATAGAAACTGTTCTCTGTGTGAAAGTAATTTCAGAAAGTAATCTAGTTTATGGAAATGAAAGGCATCAAAACACAAAAAAACACTGTTTCTCTACAAGTGCTTTACCTCAAATATTTGACATGGAAATTTGTATAATCCCTCTGGGGGCACGTGGGTTTCACCAGTGTTAACATCTTTTGAAATGGATTTCACAAATGTTTATTTGAGGTGCCAGGCTGACAAATAATGTGGCATATCGAGGCATCTTCCCAGAATCAAACCTAATGATATGGATCTCCGGTAATTGTGGAGGTTAAAAGGTGTGAATTTTAATTGGGTATTGAGGGTGACATCACTGCCCCAGGGAGCAAAGATGTCACTTAGCTGTTCTGGGCCCCCAAACCTCCTTGCTGTGTGAGTAACGCACCTCAGAAATGACACTGTTGTCCACTTTCACGTTCTGCTTCGTTTCCCACATAGGAAACAAGTCCTACTGCCCCTGCCTGGAGGGAGGGAGAAGGGAAGGTAACGAAGCCATGTGCGGGCTGAGCTCAGGCCTGGCCTGGCCGCCAGTGAAATGGGGTGTGCTGCTTCCACCAGTCCTTAAGCAAGGAGGAGGCACAAGATGGGCCCTGCAGAAGACAGGCGTTAGGTGAGAATAGAACCGAGGAAGAGCGAGAGAGGGAAGCTTATGCTTTCTAGCTGCTGAGTCTGAATGCCCACAGAGCCCCTCTTTTCTTCCTGTGGGGGAGCACTGGCTTGTCATTTTAGAAAATTCCATGCAGTCCTGTGAGAACCTTTTGCCCACATACAAATGGCCCTCAGGCCTGGTGACAAAGGCCCTTCCTAGAGCCGTGGTTTCCAGTCAGAGATTTAGAGTTGGGACGGTCAGAATGGGTCACACCGAGGGCCAAGCATCCCCCTGTGACAGAGGGACAGCAGCTTACCTGCGTCTGCGTGGCAGGTGAGGAGCAGGGTCAGCTGCACACCAAGGTTTGCTGCTCCTTGGTCTATCTAGCACCTTCTCTGCCCCACAATCACCCTTCTCAGCCTTGATGATCACTGAACACTGAATAGCTCAGCCTGTCCAGAGGACGGTCTGCTGGAGCAGGGAGCTATGGGGCCTTAAATAAGACCTAGAGCAGGGAGCTATGGGGCCTTAAATAAGACCTAGAGCAGAGAGCTATGGGGCCTTAAATAAGACCTAGAGCAGAGGGGTACACAGACTGCCTGCCCAATTCTTGAGAGCCCTCCCATCAGGAGATAGGTCTGTCCCCTCCCCTGAGTCTGGGCAGGCTCTGTGACTGCTCTGCCAAGTTCTGGGCCCAGTCTCTATGACAATTGGCAGTTTCTGCTTCCTTCCTCTAGACCCTGGAGCCACCATGGAAGAAGTTCCACTCCTTTCTGGGAAAAACACATGGAGAGGCCTGGAGGTGACACGGAGAAGGAGAGGGGGCCAGTTGAGCCTGGCCTGTTAACTCTCTGTGCAAGCCACATGAGTCACTTTAAGTGTTTTAGTAGCTGCATTAAAAAGTAAAAAGAAACAGGTAAAATTAATTATATTTTTGACCCAACGTGTGAAAAAACAATTTCAACATGTAATCAATCAATAGTAAATTATTGAGATGTTATACATTCTTTTTTTTTTCATATGAAGTCTTCAAAATGTGGTGTGTTATTTGTGCATAGAACGTGTCTTAATTCTGCCCAGCCATATTGCAACAGCACATGTGACCAGTGGCTGCCGTAGGGGATAGCTCTGATCTAAAGCTCTGTCGCTGCTATTTGCCAGCACCCCCAACCTCCACCCCATCACCAAAAGGAAAAATTCCTTGGCAAGTGGAGTCATGCTAAAATAAACACGCAGGCACCCTTGAAGGGGAGAAGCCACGGGAGAACGTACCAATGAAGGAAAAATCCTCTCTTGCTGCTTAGATGGGGAGGCATCGATGGAGGCCTCTTGGTAACATTTTTCTCTAAGCTGCAGAGAACCCATCGCCTTCTTCCCCAGTGGTTGCCTTTCCAGGTTGGAGCCGCAGTCTGTCTCATGTAAGCAAAGCACTCTATATAAAAATTCGTATTTGTGAAGGAGCTAAGTGGCTATTCAATTTAAATAAGAGTCTGCTTTACAAAAGGATTCGCTTCGGGATTGCTTAAGCTAGCGCATTTCTCGTGTGTTTAAAATAAATCCATTTATTTTTAAAAGATTTAATCACATCGCACCAACATCTATTGAATGAAATAAATTATCCCTACATTTGAAGGCTTCCTGAAAGTTGATTTGGGGGGAGGAACATGAGCACAGAGAGGAAATATTCATAGACTGTTAGGGCTGTAAGAGAACTTGGAGCTCAGAGTCTAATCCAGGGGTGACAGATGCTGGCAGCTGGGCCATCACTTCTCATGGCTGACAGCTGGGCCACCTGCCCTCATGACAGCCTCGTGTGGCCCCGGGCATAGTCTCTATATGCCCCTCTAGGCAGTCGCTACCAACAGACCTGCAGTAGTGGTGAGAGGAAATCAGCCCTCCCTGTTTTTACAACAGGTAAGGCACCTGTTGGATTATCTGCCAGTCTGCCTCTCACCTCCCCATCACTATTCTGAAATTGACCGGGGGCCCCCTGTCCATGGTTGATTGGTCTAGGGTGGGCACCTGACCTAATCTGAGGGCAACCCTTCCCAGGTTTCTCCCATTTAAGAGACTAAGAGCATGTTGGTGAGTCTGTCTGCTGGCTGAAGCTATAAGACAGAAAACTCAGGAGCGGCCTGGCCTGTGCTATCGTCAGGGTAGATCTGAAGCCAGAGGACAGAGCTGCTGCTCTGAGCAGAGCAGACAGGACAGACTCTGGGGCACTGAGTGCCTTGTTCCAGTCAAGTCTGATGCATAGGCCAAACCCCATCAGTGGTTCATCTCCCCAGATTCCACATGCCTAGTAACATCCAGTAAAGTATCTTTTTGCAAAATGAGTGTGACTTGGCTTATCTCATTTTCAAACCCAAGGTCATACCTAACATGGAGGCCCAGCTTCAGGGGCTGGCAAACTGTGCCCTCACCAATGGCCCCGAGCTTAGAAGAACGCTATGCTTGGTTTAATGCTCTGCTGTCGTCCTCTCAAAATTCATAATCATTTTTGAATAGGAGGTCTTACACGTTCATCTTGTATTGGACCCCCTAATTAGGTAGTCAGTCCTGCAAATATACCTTCATTTTATAAAAGGAGGTAATTGAAACTGGGAGGAAGTCAGTACGTTATTTAAAGACCCAGAGCTGGATACAGAATCCATCCTCAGTCTGGTGGAGTCCAGGTTAGGACTGAGAAATTTACATAAACAGGTGAAAACGGGCTGGGAGGGGGAAGGGGAGAGAAGAATCATCTTGTTTTTTTCTTCTTCCATGACACAGAAGCTCTCTAACTTCCAAACCTTAACTGCCATTGTTTTGCTTCTCAATTTTCATAAAACTAAACAGAAGAAAGGGTAGGTAGGAAAAGGCTGACTGGTGTCATAGGCCAATTGTTCTGAGAGAAGGAAACATTTGCCATGTTGCCAAAGCCGACCTCATTTCCCAACTTCCCAAAGACCCAATTTCCCCAGCTGCTTTGTTGACATAGCAACAGTGAATTCTGAAAGGATTGTTATAATATTAATATGTATTTCATGGTGGGTTTGCCCTGTGTTCTTCCCTAACCTTCTGATCCAGGTCTGAAAAGAGATGCTTTTGGCTTCTGGCCACAGAAAATAAGAAACTCAAGGCCCAATTCTCTGAGTGAGATAAATAAGGACCAGGTGCCTCCAGTGGCACATTCTGACAATTGGGTGGAGTCCCCGCTCCACCCCAGCCCCTCCAGGCTCCCCAGCCTTCCCCAGTGTGACTGTGTAGATGTTTTAAATAATAGCTGCACCTTGGGATACATTTCCATCCCACTACTACTCAGGGTGTTAAATGTAGCACCTGTGAGCTATTGTGCAGAAAATCAATTACACCTTGGGCCCAGTGATAAGAATTCATCCCTGAGCTCAATTTTTAAAAGGCTTCAAAAGGCCTCCCACCTCTTTCCCTTTTTCCAATGCAAATGAGCAACACTCAGGAAATTTACATGCCAAATTCCAGCATGGGTTTCCAGCGAGTAAATGGTCATATTTATTAGTAATAGCTATAGTAGATGAGTAAAAGGTATTTAATAAATGTATGTTGAATGTGTTAGTGTTTCTATCGTACTTAGTTTTCAAAGCTCTTTTCCCCCCTATACCTCATTTGATTCTTAAACAAGTAAACAAACCAAAAGCCCTGTGATGAGGACAAAGGGAACTTATTATCCTCATCCTACTTTTATTTTTATTTTATTTTTTGAGACAGAGTCTTGCTCTGTTGCCCGGGTTAGAGTGCTGTGGCATCAACCTAGCTCACCTCAAACTCCTGGGCTCAAGCGATCCTCCTACCTCAGCCTCCCGAGTAGCTGGGACTATAGGTGCTCGCCATCACGCCTGGCTAGTTTTTTCTATTTTTAGTTTCCCGGCTCATTTCTTTCTATTTTTAGTAAAGACAGGGTCTTGCTCTTGCTGAGGCTGGTCTTGATCTCCTGACCTCAAGCCATCCTCGTGCCTCAGCCTCTCAGAG